CTAAACCCTAAGAGGAAGACTAGACCTCACTAAAAATGAGGTCAACAAGCACTTATTTGATTTTAAGAATTTCTCTTTCATCATTAGTGGTACAAATCAAATCATTCACATATACGATCAGTGCAACAATCTTATCTTCTTTGAGTTTGTTTTATGAATAATGTGTGATCAGCCGAACTTTGAGAATATTTATTAGATTTCATAGTTTTAGTAAACCATTCAAACCACGCAGACATGCTTTCTTCTTCCATGTTAAACTTCTTGTTGGGTTTCATCGAAATATCGATAGGTTTGCATCCAATCATCTATGTTTTCTTTAGCAAATCTAGGATGTATTTCATATGTGATATAACAATCCCTTTATTGGATCTCACTACCTCCATACGTAGAAAATATCTCATGTTTTCTAAGTCCTTGATTTAAAACTAAGTGAAGCAATTCTTTGATTTTAAGAATTTTTCTTTCATCATTATTAGTAAGAATCATATCATCCACATATACAATCAATGCAATAATCTTCTCCCTAAGTTTGTTTTATGAACAATATGTGATTAGCCTCACTTGGAGAATATTTATTAGATTTCATAATTTTAGCTAACCTTTCAAACGACACCATTGGTGATGGCTTAAGCCTATAGAGAGACTTTATGAATTTGCATAGAAGAGTTTGTTGGAATTATTCTTAAGTTTTGATGGTATCTCCATGTATACTTCTTCCAAATCCTCATTCAGAAAGAAATTTTTTATGTCAAGTTAATGCAATCCACATTATTTGTTAACTGATATTGAAAGAACTCTGATAGTATTCAATTTGGCAATTGGTGTGAAGATCTCCTAATAGTCAATTTCACAAGCTTGTGTGAAACCCTTAGCAATAATTTTGACATTAAACCTCTCAACACTTCCATCAACTTTTTTTTGTAAATCAACAATTACAAGAATTTGATGACGCTACTAGAAAATTTAAATTCCAGCAACGATGCCAAAAACTTAATTGCGACTTTATTTATATATATATATATATATGTTTGATTTAATAAAGATGTATAGATATAATATTCAATAATGTTAAAGTCGAATTTGTCAACGCAAGTATACGTATCGCTCAAGTAATATATGGCTCTAATGGAGTCCTAGATATCGATCCCACAAGGAGAAATAGAATACTATGAACTAAGATTTAATCAAAAGTAATACTTCAACTACAACGACGTTCAAGTTGTTTATCAGTCACTAATAGGCAATTGAAGTAAGTAGATAATTTGGATAATAACTAATTATAGAAAATAACGTTTAATTGTGATATTCAATATATAAGAAAACAGCATTCTCCTTGCCAAAAAATTATAGTGAATGGATAAAATGAATTAGTTCAATT